AAGATAGAATCCCATATCAGGCTCCATGCTCAGCTTAGAGTCTGCTTGGGATTCTCTCTCCCCATCTCCCCCTGCCCCTCCCCCTGCTCTCACAAGCATGCTCTCTCTCTAAAATAAATAAATAAAATCTGGGATGCCTGGGTGGCTTCGTCGTTAAGCGTCTGCCTTCAGCTCAGGTCATGATTCCAAGGTTCTGGGATTGAGTCCCACGTCAGTCTCCCTGCTCAGCGGACAATCTGCTTCTCCCTCTGCCTGCCACTCCCCCGCTTGTGTGTGCGTGCTCTGACAAATAAATTAAATCTTTAAATAAATAAATAAAATCTTTAAAATACACACACACAAATCTATAGGTTTTCTTAACAATTTACTAAAATTTACCAATTTACTAAAATATGAAAATATTAACTACAATTTTATATTTTGTACTGATCATGTTTCTATTTTAACTGCTTATTCTAATTTGGTATGGAAGAAAAAAATAACATTGAAAATATACATCACTTTACCTATTTGTGAGTTTTTCCCTAACCATTCATAAAGTACCTAAAAGTACTTTATATATTCATGTTTTTGACTACAGACTACAAAAAAAAAAAAAAAAAACAAATATTAGAGCTCAACCATATGGTTTTTCTGTCATTGCAAAAGTACTTTGGTGATGATAAATGTACTTTATATATGTTGAATTAGTATGGCATATACCACTTACATCTTTTTATAAATAAAAGCTCTATGTCACACTAGTGAAATGTTATCATTTGAGTTACTAGATTGAATTGAGAAATTTAGTTTAACAATCTTCAAACTTATGAGGAAATTATCAGAAACCAATGCCTTTAATATTATAAATAATAAATCACCCACCTATGACAAATACTGCATTTCTACAGCAATATAGTTAATACTACCTATAGCCAAGGAAACAAAACTTATAAATTCTGGTTTAAAAATATAACCAATATAAAGATATGGATATACAGGTATAAATACAATTATACCTAACCAATAAGAAGACCATAATAAATGATTAACATAGTACATAACCAAAAGGAGAAATCAGTCAAAGCACTTGGCTTAAAATTAAGGTACCTAGTGAGGAACTCTGCTTACAAGTGGTCTAGACTCTAAACAGGTTCAGCCATAGACATCCTTAACAGATATTAAAAGAATTTGTTACTTAATTATAAACCTAATTCCTCAAAATTAGTATCAATACTACAGAATACATTTTAGCAGCATTTAAAGATAACTACATATATGTAATATTAATCAATATTAATATAATATCCTTATTAGCACACAAATGTAACCATTTGCTGTTACTCCTATCACTACTGCTGCTATTTCTACTACCACTTACCACTTAATATGCCCTAAAATATGCCAGGTATACTCTAATCACTTTATAAATATTAACCTGCTTAATCTTCCTAACAGCCCTGTGAGATAGGTACTATTACTATCCCCACTTAACAAACGGGGAAACTGAAGTAGCAATAGTTTAAAAACTTCATAGAGGTTACACAGTTAGTAAAGAGCAGAGCTATGATTAAAACCCAGGCATTCTGATTCAAGTTCATTCTCTTAACCAATAAAAACAAAACAAAATTTAAAAATCCACTTCTCTAGGGGCGCCTGGGTGGCTCAGTCAGTTCAGCATCCGACTCTTGATTTTGGCTCAGGTCATAATCTCACGGTCATGAGATCAAGCCCCAGGTGAAGCCTGCTTAGGATTCTCTCTCCCCCTGTCTCTCCCTCCACCCACTGGCTTGCATGCACATGCCCTAAATAAATAAATACATAAATACATAAAATTTATCTGGGTTCCACTTATTTAAAAAAAATCTACTTCTCTCATTTTAGCTATTATTAATCACAGCTTATTCTATGCTTGATTTCTTTATTCTGGAGGCTTCTGCATAGTATTTCTTTCCTTTATGTTGGTATGAGAATCCTGCTTAGATGACTCCAGGATTTGAGAGGCATTTTAGAGATAATGTACAATAAAGTGATTAGAGCATTTGCCAGAGCATCATACTACTTAGGTAAGATTTAGCTCTGATATCTGCCAGCTTTGTGACCTTAAGCAAATTACTTACTTCTCAGAGTATCCTTATCTGTAAAATGGGAACAACAATATTACCTGCCTATGTCATTGTAAGAATTGAAGAAGATTCTACTAACAAATATTTATTGGGCAACTAATATACACTATGTTATTCTAGGTACTAGAGATACATGTGAAAAAGACTGATGTTCTATTCTAACAGAGCAGATAGATAATAAAAAGGTAGATAAATTCAAATACTAAGGGCTATTAAAATAAGGCACTGTTAAGGGAAATGAGGGAGAAAACACTGGCAGAGGCAAACATATAGCATATATTATTACTGACAATTTAATATTAAAAGCTCCTAAAATGACTTCTCCAACTATATGCCTTCTATGAAGATAACCAACAACTTTCCCCTCATTTAGCATTTTTAAGAATTTAAAGGAAGACTCTTTGAGGGCAGGGAATATAGTTTTCATTCACTCAGCCTTTACTAGGCTCCTAGCACAATGCTAGGTGCCTGGAACATAAGAATGAGTAAAACAGTCACAGCCTTCAAGGAGGTCTCAATATACTAGAGAACCTGGTGTTTCCTTAATGGAACTTAAGAGCCTTGCAGAGAAGATAATAAGGGTAAATGTTAAAATTCTAGTAGAAGGAACATTCCAGATGGGAATCTAACTCAAAATTGGGGATGTCAAGAAAGGCTTTCTGAAGAATTAGCAGAAGTTTATCAAAAAAAAAAAGAGAGAGGAGGAGCAGAAAGGGCAAAAGAAAACAGTAAGTTTATAAAGGTCTTATGACTGTACAGATAAACAATTGTCTCCATAGTCAATGCGTTTGTTCATCTCCCACCTGAAAAACTAAAAGCATAGACAGAATATATGAAGCAACAGTTTTTAAGATATGGGATATCAGGTAAGAGTGATCCCTGAGAGATAGGATATAAATGAGACAGGCCCTATGATTGCCTAGGCTTGCTGTCTTGAGAGAGTTTCTAGGTTGTGCCATGGCGAAGGGGAACACAGATACAGCCCAGCAAACCTGAGCTGAAGAGACATTGCTCTTCAGTCCAGGAAGTCAGAGAAGACTAAAGTTCACAGGGAAGAATATGAAAGTAGAAAGAGCTGTACAAAGAATGAATTTCATAGATCTGTAGGGGGACCTCTCAAATATCTAGCCGAGTATTGATCAACATATGTGAGTTAACAATCCAAGATAATGTAAAGAACCACTTGAAATGATGAGACACTCATACAGGGCATGGAATAGTGCCTGTTCCCACCAGCCAGACTGGAAAACCTAACAATTCATAGAGCATTAGAGGACTCAGAAGGAGTTAGCCTCTATTAAAGTAACCTACAACTATATTAAGCTCAGGTCCCATCTAACAAATTCTAAAAGCAGACCCAAAAAGATCAAGTTGATTCCAATTAAATTAACTGCATCTCAGAACAAAACTCAAGTATTTATAGAAATATAATAACATCCAGGGTGCCTCAGTGGCTCAGTTGGTTAAGTGTCTGCCTTCGGCTCAGGTCATGATCCCGGGGTCTTGGGATCAAGCCTTGCATCAGGCTCCGTGCTCAGCGGGGAGTCTGCTTCTCCCTCTCCCTCTGCTCCTCCCCCAGCTCATGCTCTCACTCTCCCTCTCAAATAAATAAATAAAACCTTAAAAAAAAAAATATAACAACATTCAACACCCAGCAATTAAAATTCACAACATCTGAAATTTAATTTAAAAAAACCAGGCATGATTCCATTTATATAAAACTATGGAAATGAAAACTAATCTATAGTGACTGAAAAAAAAAGTCTAAGGATGCCTGGGGATGGGGGGATAGGGCAAAAGAAAAAAAATCCACTCGACTATCTGGCACTTAGGATGGATCTTTTCCAGGCATTATCTTATAATATCATGTACAGGCCATTCAGAAAATATTTGGTTCCCTGATTTTACAGATCTTATAAATGTTAACACAGTTCATTATATAATATCAAAAAAGTCACATTCTATAATATCACCATCACTATCGTCAGGAAAGTCTATAAGTATCATAAAACTGCCAAGCTCACAGTGGCATATAGTTTTTCAAAATTCTGATTTTCACTCAAATTTTATCAGGCTTAAGAATTACCATAGTTCATCTGTCAGTCATTCTTTCAAGTAAAAATGATGTTCCGTGAAAAAAAGTGGCTAGTTCAGCTAACAATCCAAACTATCTTATAAGTGCTTTTCCTCAAGACAATCATCCTATTCCTATGCAAAACATTTTGAGTACTACTCACTCCTTCACACAGAATGTTAAAACAGCTTAAGGGCTGAGATTTAATAAAATTAGTAATTTTTACTACTTCATCAAGGACATTCTTAAGTGAAACTGGCTTTTTTTAACTGCATTAATGATGGTGAAGAAAACCACTATTAAAACAGGTCGGTACCACTATCTTGATTGTGCTAAGGCACTGACAATTTTACCCATTGTTGCTTTTGCACCATCAATGAAAAAGTCAAGACAGTTTTTAAAAAGGCAAATAACATCTTATTATTACTATAAAAATACTTTTGAGCACACACACTTGCCTGAGAAAAAAATACCAGTAATCTCTAGAGCTCCCTGGACTACTCCTTGAAAACTATTTGCTCTAAGGACACTGAAAAGAACTATAGGAAAGAAGAGTCCACAACATTAGAATGTACATGAGGAAAAAACATTTCAGATTTCTTTCTAGCCCAATTCTTTCATTTTATAAATGAGGAAACTGGAGCTCAAAGAAAATAGCATTTCCCATCTCACATATTAGTAGCAGAGATGTGATAGCACTTAGAGGACTTCTGAATTGTTTTCCACTATTCTTTGCATTATACTATTCCTTTTTTTTTTAAATGAGTTTAGCAAATTCCACATTTTCCTTCTTTAAACTGAACAATGGCATAAATACATACATTTTGTGGAGAAAAGGAGTTTATCTTTCCTAATGGAGAGTTGAGTTTTGTGGTCTTTCCTGAAGCAACTTTTGAATCCAAATGATGTACCTCCTTTTCAAAACAATGACGCTTTCTAATCTGTAAACACAGAACCAAAATGAAGTTTAATGTAAACAAAAGTCTGAGCAGGCCAGTTATTCTTGAAGGTCAAAATAGTTTTCGATAAGTTTTCAGCATTAAAAAAAAAGATGACTTTTTCTAACTGGCAATAATCAAATAATTATTTATTTGAGAGAGAGAGAGAATAAAAAAAAACATCATGAGAGGGGAGAAGGTCAGAGGGAGAAGCAGGCTCCCCGCTGAGCTGGGACCCCGATGTGGGACTCGATCTCAGGACTCTGGGATCATGACCTGAGCCGAAGGCAGTCGCTTAACCAACTGAGCCACCCAGGCGCTCTAATCAAATAATTTTTAAAATTCCAATTGGGCCCTTTTTTTTTTAAAAAAGATTTTATTTATTTGACAGAGACAGACACAGTGAGAGAGGGAACACAAGCAGGGGGAGTGGGAGAGGGAGAAGCAGGCTTCCCGCTGAGCAGGGAGCCCGATGTAGGGCTCAATCCCAGGACCCTGGGATCATGACCTGAGCCTAAGGCAGACACTTAACGACTGAGCCACCCAGGCGCCCCACAAATGAGCACCTTATATCTCTCCAATCCTAACCAAAATAGCTTTAATTAGTCATGTGTCAAAACTATAGTATTCTAAAATGATCCTCCCATAAATAGTCCTACATATGAATATCAAGTATAGTATTATAGCAAAGTTCAATTACATATCTAATTGGAAAGTAAAAGTAAATAAAAATAAAACTTCATTCTAAATTACAAAAACTCAGGGGCGGCTGGCGGGGGCTCATTTGGTTGAGTGTCCAACTCTTGGTTTTGGCTTGGGTCATGATCTCGGGGTTGTGGGATAGAGCCCTGTGTGGGGCTCCACGCTGGCCTGCTTGGGATTCTCTCTCTCCCTCTCTCTTTACCCTTCCCTGCCCCCAAACTCTATCTCTTTCTCAACTAAATAAATCTTTAAAAAATAAATAATTTGAAAAAACTCAGAATAAAAATTTTAAATGTAAATAGTTATGATTTCCTACATGATAAAATAAATTATTTGACTATTAGTATTATTACTTACTAGATATTTGATAATTCAAATTGTACTTGACTAAATTTCCTCTATAAATACCGCTAAGTTTTCTTTCCAAACTGTCTATGCCTTTTCCTACTTGCCAAAAACCTATTTACTTAAATTATGAAGGGGAAAAAAAAAAGCATTTCTATTGATAATCCCATTCCTACCAAAAAAGAAATGAGAATCAATTAAGTCAGAGAATAAATGTTATTTGTTGAGCCCTATCACATAATATCCAACTCTATGTACACATTTTGAAGAAGAATATCTATACAGATTCATACTTCATTTGTAATCACTACTTTTCCAAAAATAAACTAGTTCATTCTATTTCTAAAATCAAGGTTTAACTATGGAAGTTAATAAAGATTGTAAGTAGAGTAAACTACAGAAGAATGCAAACACTTTTTGAGTATATTCAATTAGAAATATATAATTATCTACAAAGGACATGCTAATTAATTATAATAATCTCTTTATTTGTAACTAAGTCTATCAAAGTCCCAACCTATCTCCCTACCTCACTGCCATCAACTCCATGACAAAACATTGTATTCATGGGCGGCTGGGTGGCTCAGTCATCAAGCGTCTGCCTTTGGCTCAGGCCATGGTCCCAGGGTCCTGGGATCGAGTCCCACATCGGGCTCCCTGCTCGGCGGGAAGCCTGCTTCTCCCTCTCCCACTCCCCACTGCTTGTGTTCCCTCTCTCACTGTGTCTCTGTCAAATAAATAAATAAAATCTTAAAAACAAAAACAAAAACATTGTATTCATATATGAAAAACACATTTCATATAAAATATTTAGTAATTCAGGTCTTTCAGCAATTTTTAGAAATAAACATTTTATCGAGGCACCTGGGTGGCTCAGTCATTAATCGTCTGCATTTAGCTCAGGTCATGATCCCAGAGTCCTGGGACTGAGCCCTGCATTGGGGGTCCCTGCTCAGCGGGAAGCCTGCTTCTCCCTCTCCTACTCCCCCTGCTTGTATTCCCTCTCTCGCTGTCAAGTGAATAAATAAAATCTTAAAAAAAAAAAATTTTATCATGTATTCATATTAAAACTCAATAAATAAGACTAAACCTTGTCATTACGCTAAAACTATCAAAAACAAAAATATTCGTCTCAAAGATACTTTGGCCAAAAGAAAATGCCATTATTAGGTAAAAACAACAGAGGACTTAAAAAGTACAAAGTATCTGTATTACCAATATATGCCTTAAGTAAATATTTTACCATCAAATTCTTCATATATAGAAAAGCACCATGCTGTTTCACTTTAAAGACATGTTATTATGAGTAATCTACTATAATAACAAACTCCTTTGTAATGAATAACTATACAAAATGAACTTACAATAATTTACCATTTAATTTATGTCTATGATACAACCCAATTAAATTGTACAAGTGCCACTGAAAACTTGCTTGATACTTGACTCCTGTGTACAGCAATAACGGTATTATTTCACTGCCAATAAACTGTTTACCTGCTGTGTGGTTTCTAAGGGTCGAATTCTTTTCTTCTCTACTTGAAAATCATCATTTTCATCTCTCTTTATGGAAGCCTGTTTCTTGGCAGATAGCTTTGCAGCCAGCGTAGTTTTTTCAGGAGAGTCTTATATAAGAAGTCATAAAAAATTAGCATAAAAAACTTAGGCAATTTTTCTAGGAAAAATCATAATCAAGATGTTAAGACTTCTCAAAATTTCAAAACATACTTTAAAACATGAAAAGCTCAACATGTTTAAAAGCATTTCTTTACCACTGAGTTTACTTAAAAAAGATATAACATTTTGAGAAATATGCTTTCAATAGGAAAGTCCAATTCTGATTTAATAGGTTTATGTTTTTGTAAATGACTCCAGATAATGTGGTTTAAAAAATCTAACTGTAAGGGTCTCACAAGAAAACATATTTCATTTATATAAAAATCTTTCTTTACAGTGTCTCAATGTTCTTCCCCACTAAACTTCTATATGTTCTTTAGGCTTCAAAATACAGCAGAATCAAGCTCCTAAAATCTGTCCTTTAATCCCACTACCTTGAAGGTCATCAGTGACCTCTTAATCACCTAATATTAACCCACTTAATAAATGTGAACACTAGGTTTTTAAGAAGTCAAGTTAATATGCCCAATATCATATAGCTAGTAAGAGGCAGAGCATGGATATGAGTGACTCCTACTGTCTGACTCCAAAATCCATCAGCATAACTTCTAGGGATACAGCCAAACATAACACTGTCTTCTTGAAATACAACACACACATTTCCTTTTTCCTTAATTTCTGTAACACTTTTCTTAACTGTTCCTATACATGGGTTTCTCCTTTCCCTAAATGTGAGTGCTCTTAAAAGTACCTTCCTTCCTCTCAGCTCTTCTCTATACATTCCCTCCACTCCCAGGGCTTGAATTCATTTAACAAGCTTTTACTGAGTCCATACAATTCCAGACATCATGGAAAACAGTGAAAAAGAAACAGCCTCTGGCCTTAATAGATTTACAGACTATTAGGGAAGAAAGCCCTGAAGGCAGGTCCACTACTATTTTCAAAAACCAAGTTTGAGTCTGTAAAAACACACGTAAATCTATGCCACACAGCATTGATTTTCAAGTTTTTTCCAAGAGGACTATATATCTTAAAGAAATATTGCTTAAAATTTCCAAAGTAGAATAAAAGACCCAGAACTTCCCTGACTCATTGCCCCCCACCCCCACAGGCCATATTTTTTTCCTATGACTCTTAGGAACATAGTTTAAATACCACTGTATTCTAGCGGCACCTGGGTGACTCAGTCAGTTGGGTGACCGACTCTTGATTTCAGCTCAGGTCATGAGATCAAGCCCTGCATCAGGCTCTGTGCTGGGCATGGAGCCTGCATAACATTCTCTCTCAGGGGTGCCTGGGTGGCTCAGTCAGTTAAGCATCGGTCTTCAGCTCAGGTCATGGTGCCAGGGTCCTGGAATAGAGCCCCACATCCAGCTCCCTGCTCAGCGGGGAGTCTGCTTCTCCCTCTCCTTCTGCCCCTCACCCACTCATGCTCACTCTCTCTCTCAAGTACATAAAATCTTAAAAAAAAAAAAAGATTCTCTCTACTCTGCACCCCCCCACCCACCACTCACACTCTTGAGTGCTCTAAATAAATACATAAACAAATATCACTATATTCTAAAATCTTAATGGTCTTGTCTTTCATACTTGGGGTTTTTTTTCTTTTTTTGACCTATACAATTCAATTTTATTAGTATCAGGCAGTGGGCTAAAAGTTTTACATAGATCAGCTCCTTCTACCATCCCATGAAGTAGCAATTATTATTTTACAGTACATAGAAAAATGGAATAAGTGCCCAAGGTAAACAATGGAATTGATTCCAAACCTGTTTCCAACATAATCCAAAACCTTTTTGTTTTTTTTAAGATTTTATTTTTAAGTAATCTCTACACCAAACATAGGGCCAGAACTCATAACCCAGAGATCAAGAATCGCATGCTCTACTGACTAACCCAGCCAGATGCCCCTTTTTAACTTTTTTTTTTTAAGCAAGCTCTATGCCCAACATGGGGCTTGAACTCACAACCCTGAGACCAAGAGTTCCATGCTCTACCCACTGAGCCAGACAGGTGCCCCCAATAGCTTTAAGTTTTAAAAAGTTACCAACTAATATAAGCTCACTGTAAAAGATTTAAGCAAATTAGGGCGCCTGGGTGGCTCAGATGGTTAAGCGTCTGCCTTTGGCTCAGGTCATGATCCCAGAGTCCTGGGATTGAGTCCCGCATCGGGCTCCCTGCTCCTTGGGAGCCTGCTTCTCCCTCTGCTTCTCTCTCTCTCTCTCTCCCTGTCTCCCTCCGTCTCTCATGAATAAATAAATAAAATCTTTAAAAAAAAAAAGATTTAAGCAAATTAGAAGTATAAATAAGAAATAGTAAAATGCCATCCACTTCCCTCCCTCCCTCCCCAACTTGCTCATTTCGAATTCTTCCTCTCTGAACTAATCACTACTTATCTTTCAGAATGAATCCTTCCAGATGACTTTCTTTTTTTCATCATAATAAGTGTACTCTTTTATCCCCATCCTATAAATCCCCCATCCCCCACTCAATTCCCCTCTGGTAACCATCAGTTTGTTCTCTATAGTTAAGAATCTGTTTCTTGGTTTGTCTCTGTTTTTCCCTTGGCTCATTTGTTTTGTTTCTTAAATCCCACACATGAGTGAAATCATATGGTATTTGTCTTTCTCTGACTGGCCTAACATTATACTTTCTAGTTCTATGTTGTTGGAAATGACAAGATTTCATTCTTTTTATGACTGAATAATATTCCGTTGTATATATATATACCACATCTTCCTTATCCATTCATCTATCAATGGATACTTGGGCTGCTATCAACGGATACAAAGTCATAGTTTGGCTATTCAATTAATGCTGCAATAAATACAAGAGTGCATGTATCCCTTTGAATTAGTGTTTTTGTATTTTGGGGGGTAAATACCCAATAGTGCAATTCCTAGATTGTAGGGTAGTTGTTTCTTTTCTTCCTTTGTTTTTAAAGATTTTATTTATTTATTTGACAGACAGAAAGAGAGTATAAGCAGGGGTGAAGGGGCAGAGGGAGAGGGACAAGCAGACCCCACTAAGCGGGGAGCCCAATGCAGGGCTCGATCCCAGGACCCCGAGATTATGACCCGAGCTGAATGCAAACATATAACTGACTGAGTCACCCAGGTACCCCAGGGTAGTCCTATGTTTAATTTTTTGAGGAACCTGCATACTATTTTCTACAGTGGCTATACCAGTTTGCATTTCCACCAACAGTGCAAGAAGGTTCCTTTATCTCCACATCCTTTTCTTATGTTTTTGATTTTAGCCATTCTAACAGGTATGAGGTAATATCTCATGTGGTTTTGATTTGCAGTTCCTTGATGATGAGTGATGTTGACCATCTTTTCATGTGTGTTGGCCATCTGTATGTCTTCTTCGGAGAAATACCTGCTCATGTCTTCTGTCCATTTTTTAACTGAATTATTTTTTGGGGTAGTGAGTTGTATCAGTTCTTTACACATTTTGGATACTAACCTTTTCAGATATTTCATTTGCAAATATCTTTTCACATTCAGGAGGTTGCCTTTTAGTTTTGTTGGTTGCTTTCTTTGCTGCACAGAAGCTTTTTATTTTGATGTATTCCCAGTAATTTGTTTTTGCTTTTATTTCCCTTGCCTTAGGAGACATATCTAGAAAAATGTTGCTATAGCCAATGTCAGAGATTACTGCCTGTGCTTTCTTCAAGGATTTTTATGGTTTCAGGTCTTACATTTAGGTCTTTGATCCATTTTGAGTTTATTTTTATGTATGGTGAAAGAAAGTGGTCCAGTTTCATTCTTTGGCATGTGGCTGTCCAGTTTTCCCAACACCATTTTTTTTTAAGAGATTCTTTTCTCCATTGTATACTCATTCCTCCTTTGTCAAAGACTAATTGACCATGTAATTGTGGGTTTATTTCTGGGTTTTTTTTTTTTAAAGATTTTTATTTATTTGACAGAGACACAGCCAGAGAAGGAACACAAGCAGGGGGAGTGGGGGAGGGAGAAGCAGGCTTCCCGCGGAGCAGGGAGCCCGATGCGGGGCTCGATCCCAGCACCCTGGGATCATGACCTGAGCCGAAGGCAGACGCTTAACGACTGAGCCACCCAGGCGCCCCTATTTCTGGGTTTTCTTGATATGTGGATCTTGATATGTGGGTCTATTTTTGGCCAGTATCATACTATTTTAATTACTACTGCTTTACACTATAATTTGAACTGTGGAATTGTGGTACCTCTAGTTTTGTTTTTCTTTTTCAAGATTGCTTTGGCTATTGAAGCAAAACAATCAAAGTCATATGTCACATCAATAAGAGAAAGGATAAAAGCCATATGATCATTTCAATAGATGCAAAAAAAGCATTTGACAAAGTACAACATCCATTCATGATAAAAACCCTCTGCAATGCAGGTCTAAGGGAACATATCTCAACATAATAAAGGCCTTATATGAAAAACCCACAACCAACATTATATTTAATGGTGAAAAACTGAGAGCCTAAGGTCAGGAACAAGACAAGGATGTCCACTCTCATCACTTTAATCCATATAGTACTGGAAGACCTAGCCACAGCGATTAGACAACCTAAAGAAATAAAAGGCATCCAAATTGGTAAGGAAGAAGTAAAACTTTCCCTATTTGTAGATGACATGATACTATATACAGAAAACCCTAAACACTCTACCAAAAAACTACTAGAGCTGATAAATGCATCTGGTAAATTTTCAGGATACAATATCAAGGTACAGAAATCTGTCGCATTCCTATACACTTATAATGAAGCAGCAAAAAGAGAAATTAAGAAAATGATCCCATTTACAACTGTACCACAAACAGTAAAATACCTAGGAATAAACTTAACCAAAGAGGTGAAAGACCTGTACCCTGAAAACTATAAAACACTGATGAAAGAAATTCAAGGCAACTCAAAGAAATGGAAAGACATTCCATGCTCATGGGCTGGAAGAACAAAGATTGTTAAAAATGCCTAAACTACTGAAAGCAATCTACAGATTTAATGCAATCCCTATCAAAA